TTTTTTTTTAGTTCTTTTTCCTTTTTACCTGAGTTACCAAATTAAAAGACTTACACAAAATGGTTGGCTATGGGAAACAAAAAATTTTATTGGGGTGACTGGCCTACATAAATGGCAAACAATTATTCAGTAGAATGCTTGATGAATAATGAATGAATCTTTAAGGGACCTATTGATTAAAACCACTTATTTAGCAACCTGGTGAGACTTGGCATAAAGCAAACCATGGCTACTAAACACATTTTTCTCCTTTTTCTTCTTGCTAGGAAGTACATCACGTCTTTTGTAAAATCTGTCCTGATGACAAGTATACCATTGTCAGCTCAAACGGGAGCTTTGTGAAGTGCTCTCCTTGTGACACATGTCATCCTGGTTGGGGATTGTATCCTCTATGTGGAACACAACTTACAAATGAAAGAATGTCTGAAATATCTTGCAAAGTATGCCCTTCAGGCACATTTTCTGCCGAGCTAGACTCTTCCCCTTGTAAAAACTGTCAACAGTGTGCCCCTCATGAGATAGCATCTGCCAGTTGCACCAGGGTATCGGATACAAGTTGCAATAAAACATGTGATAAGGGATACTTCTTTGTTGAGGTCTCTCACAGCTGTCAACAATGTTCATATTGTTGTTTTGACAAAAAAGATGAACCACAGCCAGAATGTATCAAACATGGGTTCAATGCTACTGGTCAATACTGTAGCATTCGATTGGATAAGACTTGCACTCCAGTGCATCCAACTACTAGGACAACCTTGCCAGCAATTGTGACACGTATAACGCAGTACCATGACAAATCAGCCCCTCCTGCTACCAGTGGAAAAGTACCTGGTGATACTACTAAGAGCAGCACTCAGAATACTGCCACAATAGTACTTGGTGTGCTGGCTTCTATATTTGCCGCTGCACTAATTGTTGGATTCTTATGTTGGATAATTAGAAGGAAGATACAAAGGAGAAAGAGGGGGATTGATTATGGTAATAACAGCGAAGGTAAGTTGTTTTCCAGTCCTTCTAACAAGAGTATAGTTAAAAATGTTAGGTTTAAGGTTTTATCAAGAAGCCTTGCTGCTGAAGCTAATCCTAGTTTTAAAGACCAGTTTTGTTATTAATAGTAAATGGCAATTAGGGAAGGCTATCACTCCTCAGTGCTGGATTGATACCAGTCCACCACTTGTTTCTTTCAAGTTTTACAATACCCAGTGACTGTTTAGGGAGTCAGAAAATGATTGTGAGAAAAACATACAGTACCATTTTACATAAGATTACTACATTATAATTACCCTGCAGCAAGGGCTCAAATGCACACCTTTTAAATTGGAGATTAGTTTGCAGATTGCATCTCTAATTTCAAATATATTTAATGCATATTAATAAATGTATGATTCACCCTGAAGGCAAAAAGCAGAAACACAAAGTTATGTGATAATGAGGATGTGTTACATGCATTCACCAGTGTACAGAATTGCTGATGTTACCATGAAAATCAGCTGATTAAACTTGCTTTTCAGCAATTTTCTGGCTATTTGTCAGCTCTTCATTTTTGCCTTGTACAGGAAATACAGGGGAGCTAGGTCAATATATCAATCAGCTTTGAAACCTGTTTTTTTTTCTTTGAATTTAAATAAATTATGTTAATTTATAAACACATGGCATTTTTTTATTAACTGCATTGGTTGACAAACAATCTTGTATATGACAGCTTTGTTTTAATTTTTAAATAATTTGATATATTTTTCAATTTTTCAGCACTGAAAGACACCAGCTATGCTAGCAAAGGACCCACACTGTCAAATTCCAGTACTGTGGTGCCATTACCATCCCCTATAGTAAAAGCATTACAGATCAACTCAGGTTATGCTCCATCCTCTTCAGAAGATGATGAAGTAGATGACCTGCGTAACCCAAAGGATGAATTACGAAAGAAGCGTATTTTAAAACGACAAATTAGTAAAGAAGCAGGAGGTAATATATATTTATTATATACCATATGTATATGATATATTTAAAATATATATACCCATTTTAAAAGACATTGCAGTTTGAAACTATATATGAAATACATATATAGAAAACCCTTTTTTTCTTTAAAAAGTTGACGTAAATTATGGGGACAATTTTCAAAAGGAAAGTACTGTCAATAACTGCCGTCGGAAAAAAACTATTGTTCCTTTGATGCAAATTTGCATGCATCATGCATCATACATCATGCATCACCTTTTTGATGATAAAGAAAGGTTTATATATTTCATAATTCCAAATTGCAAAGATTTTTTGAAAATGGACATGTGTAGATATATTTGTACATTTCCAAATAAATGGAAAAAGAGCCTTTTTGGTGAAGAAAGAGATCATATCTATATTCAAAATGTAATTTCAAATTTGCAACATTTTTAAAACAGGTGTATATAGATACAGATGTATATATCTTTCTATTGATTTTTAATTGCATTTCAAAAGTTTGAAAGAAGTTGATAGAAGTTTTAGTAGTGATGTGAGCATCATTATCCAATAATGCGATGAGGGGGGCATAAAATGTTTCGAAAAACTATAAATTCAGCAGATTGTGTAAAGAGTGATATCAACTTAATGCATCCAGTAATTAAAGTTTCTCATTTGATTTCTTTCACATTGCATATAAGCTAGGGGCACACTTTCAAATAAGTTTCATGCACTCATTAAAGTAATTTTACATTTAATCATAACCATTACAATTTTGTC